ATTGTATTGTATGTTACCTAGTTTGGGTAATGAAAGGTCTACAAGAACATTTGGGCATCAGAGTCCAAAATGTGCACTGACAGACTGGAGTTCAGAGAAGGGGATAGAAACCAAGCCTTCTAGGAATGGTTGAAGGATGTGGATATGTTTAGCCTTCAAAAAAAGAAACCCAAAGGGAAATGTATTAAGCCTTCAGATAACTTGAAATGTATTAAGCCTTCACTTCAACCCTGAGCTACAAATATTCTCCTTTATTTGTACAGGACACAGAACAAAATTACTTCCTGTGATCTAAAGCCTTTCTTCTTTTAATGCACCGCAAGATAACATTGGCCTTTTTAGCCACTGCACCACAGTGCTGGCTCAGGTTTAATTTGTGGTTGATACGGGTTCACCATTGCCCTTTTTCACAGGCTACTGCCAGATCTGTCTAGCGGTAAAGCATCAGGCTAGAAACTGGGCAACCGTGAGTTCTAGTTCCCACCTGAGGCACAAGCCAACTTGGGTGACCTTGGGTCAATCACTTTATTTCAGCTCTAGGAACAGGCAAAGGCAAACTGCTTTTGAGACCTTGGCAAGAATATTTCAGGGGTTTTTCCAGCAATTGCCAGAAATCAATACTGACTTGACAGGACCAAAAAAATCCCCCAACCCTTGTCAGATTCGATCTCTCCCTTCGCTATTTGGATTTTCCACGTTTTTTTACCCAAATGCATTATTTTTCTCCATATTACAATGAAACTTAGTTAATTAAGTATTAATACCTGATTTATCTTCAGCAAAGCTCCTCGTTTAGGCAAGATTGAAGAGTTTCGAGAATCAATTACCATGGCATGCTACAAACAAGAAACAAAATATGAACTTTGATAAGGCAGCATTAAATGCTAACCTTGTGGGTTGAGAAAACAGTGCTTGAAATCTATTATTCTTTATTTCAATGTTAGAGAGCTTCAAAAGGAAAAAAAAAGAGATTCTCTGGCAATTTGAAACTAAATGTCTCCATAATTCTGCAGAACTAGTATATTTGAATTCTTCTCAAGAATGGGCAACATTCATCTTTTTTAAAATGATTTTTATTTATACATTTTTTTCTTCTTTAAATTACACAAGTGCTTAATAAACAGTGCATTGTCTAGATCCATGATGGCAAATCTATGGCACGCATGCCACAGGTGGCACACAGGGCACTCTCTGCAGGCAGGCCAGATTGCCCCAGCCTAGCCCCACCGCGCATGCGCGCACAGCTCCCAACAGTCAGCTGGTCTTCGGGACATTGCTGCACATGTGGGGCGGGGTGCATGCGGGGGACGTGCTTGCGCGAGGCATGCTCACATTGTATTATGGGGCCTTGTGCAGTGCCCTGCGCCCTATTTTGGCTTCCAGGTTGGTGCAGGAGGCCTTCCAGGCCCAAAATGGGGCACCTGCACCAGCCTGGAAGCCAAAAATGGGAGGAGGGGCAGAGCATATGCATGGGGGGGGAGCAGGGAGGGGTCATGCGTGCATGCACGGGGTGGGGTGGGGTCGTGTGTCCCTGTGCGGGAGTTGCATTATGGGTGTGGGCGCGTGCATGTGCTATCGGCAGGCAACAAAAAAAGGTTAGCCATCACTGGTCTAGATCAATTTGTTATACAGAGTATTTATAAACTAGTAATAAAAATATCCCGTTTTCCCCGGAAATATGACTTACCCTGAAAGTAAGTCCTAGCTTGATTTTTATACATGTGCTCAATATAAGCTCTACCCCAAAATAAGTCCTAATTAAGATCCCGCCCACTCCAGAGTGCATGGGCAAAAATTAAGGTAGGGTGGGTACAGAGGTGGGTTCCTACC